GTAGTATAATTTGCTTTTTGTCAACTCACGAGTAGTTGTTAACATGAAAATTTGTTGTTTGGGCAATTTGGATAACATTATCTCTTAAGCCGAATAAATAGGAGCATTAATAAATGAAGCTATCATCACCGTTATTACTAATTTTTTCAGTTTTCAATTTTTCATCTTACGATATACAAAAATCAATAGGAAAACAAAAAAAAAAAGAGAAATATATATTATAGTTAAAAGAGTGTAGATCGATCCTATGGATCAAAACAAGTGGACATGGAGGAAGATGAAGTGGTCATGCTGATAAAAGGGGATTATGATGATGCTGCAACTGTCTTCAAAGGTTTCATGGTAGTCACCGGTAAAAAAATCGGTGATTGGTTACCGAACATTCCCATTGTAGATCGGTTGATACTTTTATAGTAATCGCTCGTTGTCAACTTTTTATTTTCCGATGATGATGAAATACAAAGACTTTGTTCAAGATCATTGTGACCAATTCCTAGAAAAAGACAATGTTAATGGATAAGTTGATGAAGATCCATATTATACACGACTAAATTGATTGAATAGATAAGGATTTTGTTAATGGTTAGTATTATATAGATTGGTAATTTTATTTGACATTCATCAACCAACTAACCTTACAATATAAATACACTGTGAGCCACATTTATTAATTACCTTTAATATGAGTACCAAACTTCATGGTTCCTTCTCCCTTTCCCAACTCATTGTATTTGATTGCTGTTGCATGATCCCATCCCCTGTGAATAATTCACACGTATAAAATTTCCAATTATTCGCAACATAATATGGCTATGGATATTCTTTCTAAGTTACTGGATCGAGCGGCAATGACAGGGGGGATTGGTATTCATCCGCAGTGTGGAGAACCTCTAGTAACTCATCTGACCTTCGCGGACGATGTTTTAATTTTTTTCGACGGTGCAGAAGGTTCGCTAACTGGTATTATGGAGGTTTTAAGCAGTTTCTATGACACATCAGGGCTGCAGTTAAGCCGAGCCAAATCGAGGATTTACTTGGATGGGAACAATCAGGATCTATTATCTTCTTTCGCTACAAATTTTGGCATTGCTATGGGTTCTCTCCCAGTCAGATACTTGGGTCTTCTTCTTCTTCCCCATAAGATGAGACCTCAAGATTATCAACCTCTGCTTGACAAGGTTAGGGGCAAAATCTCTTCTTGGTCAACTCGACATCTTTCTTACGCCGGCAGGTTGCAGCTTATTCAATCAGTAATTTACGGGTTGATCAATTTTTGGGCGGCTGTCTTTCCTCTTCCAAAAAATTGTTTGGAGGAGATAGAGAGCTTGTGTGCTGCTTTCTTATGGAAGGGAGTTGCTGGTTCTTCTAGAGGA